TTCTGGCATCCCAGCTGAAAGAAAATTACCGTTTTTTAACAGGATTTTTTTTTAACAGTGAAGATTTGACTTTTCATTAAGTCTTATGGTCTACTCGAACAAACAGTTTTCTATCCGTATATATGTGTTACGGTGTTATTCATTTTGTCATGTTTCTGGTTTGTGGTTTCTCTGTCTTTGGTCTTTTATTCAGTTTGTGCCTTGTTAATTGTAGTCTGTTATCCTAGTCATGTCATTATTAGGTCCCTTGTTTCAGGTGTGTTGTCTTGTTAGGTTGTATGGTCCCGCTCGTTGTTCTGATTTGCCCCAGCTGTGTCTTGTTCCCTGATCCCCTCTGTGTATTTATATCCTGTCTTCTCTTTTGTTCATGGTCAGTTATTGAATGTATGTTTGAATGTGCGTACCACGAGTGTCTGTTCTGAATCTGTATTAAAGTCTACTGCTGCGTTTAGATCCGACTTCAGCCTTTGCTTCCACGCAAATCGTAACAATATGATTATTACCTCTGGTAAGAAATTATAATGTGATAAGTTGTTAATGCATGTGAGAAAATATCCCATTGCATTCCTTATAATTATATGCAACCGTATAAACTGTTCTGGTTATTTTAGGTTTTAATTAAAGTGGGTTACAATCCTTATAAAACTAGCAACATACACTTAGGCTAATTAAAGAATATATGACTGATTGTTTGTGCTTACAAACAAACAAAATGATTTAATTTAAAAATGTTTTCATAAATTATTTAATATATAAATAATGCATTCCAGCTTAGTAATTGTTTACTTAGTGATTGTATGTCCTCTAACGGTCTCTTCCGAACATTATAATTTCCAGGATATCCTGTTAAAACGATGAGACCCCATAGCGATGCTGGAAACAGATCGAATGATTCAAGTGCTGTCCATGGCCTTAAACTATGACTCTCAACTAGTTTAGCCCTTTCCTTCCAGTTCAGATGCCTGACCTCTTAATTTCCTCAGAACGGGCTGTTTACTGTATGTGCTATCATGCCTTAAATGATTAATTGCAGATCATTGAGATACAATGCATGATTTCACAGGCAAACTGCACTGGTTACCTGACATTCATATCTCTTCGGTATATCTGCAGTGTGGAAGTTTCTGTTAGTGACGGTTATATGTTGGGTTAAAACTTTTTATCTGCTGATTTTAGGGGTAAACCTAAAGAAGAGACAGACAAATAGAAAAATATGATGAAAATGTATATGCTCGACACTAAAAGCATAACCAATAATTTTCATTTTATTTCATTCTTTATGTATCCATGGTTAAAAACTCTAAAATCTAAAACTAAAATCTCTTTAACGAGAGTAACCTGGCCAAGAAAGCAGCTACAATAAAATAAACATACAAATAATCATTAAAAACAAAATCAGGGATCACAACAGCAATTTACCACATAATCTGTTAAAAGTAACTTAAACTTGTTTAGTGATGGAAGCATATCATCTCTAAGATGTTTGGTAAATTATTACAAGCAGAAGATGCATTATATATAAAGCCTTTTTCCCTGGCTCTTCGGACCAGAGGAACTTTAATAACAAATTATTAGAACGAAGACTGTAGCAAACATTTGTATTAGAAACGCAGAGAGACAATTAAGATGGAATTAGACCACAAATAGACATAATAATAAGGCAAACTGCAGTCGTTATGGGCACTGATTTCATAAACAATAATCAACAATAGGGTTCAAATTTAGCTCTTCATCTGCAGTTCATATTCCAGGGAACAGGAAGTGACTCACACGAATCCCTGAAGGTTTGAATTAAACACCATATACATCCTGTACATGTAAAGCCACACTTGAACTGCTGCTCGGAAATATACATCTGAGACTGTGAGTCAGACACACTGCATTAACACTGATTACTGCTAACCACAGACATGTGCACTTCATTTGCACAAAATTAAAGACCTGTAGTGCTAATGTGATGAGTACAGAGACCAGATATTAACTGGTCCCAGCAACATGTTTTATGGTAAATTCGGAGAAACAAACTACTGTGCTTACATTAATTACTGTTGCAATAATTATAGCAGGGAATATATATTCAGGCAATTTTAAACACTTTTTGCCATTGAGATGACTAGGAAAAAAATGTCACAATTACTGAATTAACCATATGTAATAATACATTTATACATTAGGGCTGCGTACGATTAATCGCTATTTCCATGAAATCGCACTTTAGTTTAACCGATTATTTTTTTACATGGACACCTTTTGGGTTCAATCAGAATGAAATCCATCCGATTGATGAATCTGAACACTATGGAAGCTTGTTTCCGCCACTGAATAAAAAAATATATATATAATAATTGCGACTTTTTATCTCACAATTGCGAGATATGAAGTCAGAATTGTGAGAAATAAAGTCGCAATTGCGAGATATAAAGTCGCAATTCTGAGAAAGAAAGTCGCAATTGCGAGATATAAAGTCGCAATTCTGAGAAAGAAAGTCGCAATTGCGAGATATAAAGTCGCAATTCTGAGAAATAAAGTCGCAATTGCGAGAAAAAATTCACAATTCTGATTTTTTTTTCTCACAATTGCGAGTTTACATCTCGCAATTCTGACTTAATAACACATAATTGCGAGTTTATATCTCGAAATTCTGACATCTTTTCTCAGAATTGTGAGAGACTAACTTTTTCCCCCTCAGAATAGTTTATATCTCACAATTACATTTACATTTATTCATTTAGCTGACTTTACATTTTTTCATTCAGTGGCTGAAACAAGCTTCCATAGAACACGGTGTTTACATGAACAATAAATAAGGTAATCGGGTTGATGTGCGCGTTTATGTCACAAAGCTTCAAATCGGAATTGAATTTTTGACATGCGCACACTGCACGAATACTGCCGCTGTTCGCGCATATTAGTCTCCTCTATTGGTTCTTTATTTGTTTTAAACAGCAGATTTAATATTTATCAGATTGATTAAGGTGTTTACATGAAGGTTTTTTAGTCCGATTAAGCCATCAATCCGATTATAAGGGTTCATGTAAACGCAGCTAATGATGAGGCTCTCCCTCTGAAAGCACTATAGCGGGCATTTGAAAAAGCAACACACTTCAAACATCTTTTAAAACATGAGAATAAATTATGAACCGCAATTCTGAGAAATAAAGTCGCAATTAAGAGAAATAAAGTCGCAATTCTGAGAAATAAAGTCGCAATTAAGAGAAATAAAGTCGCAATTGCGAGATATAAAGTCGCAATTAAGAGAAATAAAGTCGCAATTCTGAGAAATAAAGTCGCAATTAAGAGAAATAAAGTCGCAATTCTGAGAAATAAAGTCGCAATTCTGAGAAATAAAGTCGCAATTAAGAGAAATAAAGTCGCAATTATGAGAAATGAAGTCGCAATTGCAAGAAAAAAAAGACAGAATTGCAACTTTTTATCTCACAATTCTGATTTTTTTTCTCACAATTGCGAGTTTACATCTCGCAATTTTGACTTAATAACACATAATTGCGAGTTTATATCTCGAAATTCTGACATTTTTTCTCAGAATTGTGAGATAAAAACTCGCAATTGCGAGTTATCAGGCCAATTCTAAGGGGGAAAGAAGATTAACTTTTCCCACCTCAGAATATAGTTTAGATCTCACAATTCTGACTTCACAACACGCAATTTCGACTTTATATCACGCAATTCTGACTTTATAACATGCAGTTGCGACTTATATCAATCAATTCTGAATTTATATCTCGCAATTCTGACTTTATAACACGCAATTGCGACTTATATCAATCAATTCCGAATTTATATCACGCACTTCTGACTTTAAATCTCGCAATTCTGACTTATATCTCGCAATTCTGACTTTAAATCTCGCAATTCTGAGATTTAAAGTCAGAATTGTGAGATAAAAAGTCGCAATTAACTTTTTTATTTTTCATTCAGTGGCGGAAACAAGCTTCCATAGAACACGGTGTTTACATGAACAATAAATAAAGTAATCGGGTTGAACACACGTCAAATATCTTTTAAAACATGAGAATAATTTTTATGAACCTCCTGTCCAACAAAAGACACCAGATTTATTAACATGCTTTACTCAAAACTCACTTCATAACGACAGTTGAGCTCCTCCTTCTTTGAGATGATGGCTCCTTACACAGAATAAAGCAGTCGTGTGTTTATAAGTAATGTTTACTCAACAATCAAAGCGTTTAAATCTTCTGTTTATTCAGCCACAGCGATTATTTACTGTCTCTGGGATTCCCTGGGATGATCTTTGTCGTGTGTGCGTGAGTGCGCCCTCTGGCGTTCAGATGAAGCAGCGTTTACTAGCGATCAGCCGTGCTGCACTGACAAGCTGCGCATACAGTAATCGCAGCTTTTGCCAAATCGCATGCAGTTTCGTTGCAATTAATCGTGCAGCCCTATTAATAAACCACTATAATCGTTAGGTTATTTAGCATATTTATTCCTGTGATCAAAGCTGAATGTTGAGCATCGTCTTCAGTGTCACATGATCCTTCAGAAATCACTCTAATATGATGATTTGATGCTAAAAAAACATTTCTGATTATATTCAATGATGGACGTTTAGCACTTTTTTTTTTTTTTGATGAATAGAACGTTCAAAAGAACAGCATTTATTTGAAATATAAATATTTTGTAACACAAATATTTTACTGTCCCTTAAAATATGTCCTTGTTGAATAAAATTATTAATTTCTATCAAAACAAAAAGGACACAAACGTAGTGTAAATATGATGTTTTATATCATTTGTTTTATAATTATGTTTTATAAGTTTGTATCTTTTGTAAGAGAGAGAGAGAGAGAGAGAGAGAGAGAGAGAGAGAGAGAGAGAGAGAGAGAGAGAGAGAGAGCAAAGCCTCTCCATTGTAACGCCCGCTCCAGTCAGTGCAGTGAGTCTTCAGTGTTTATCTCGCATCCTCCACCAAACGACACACTTTACACGGCTTATAAACCACTTTCAACAAATGGGACAAACATTTGCCTAAACTTTTGGGGGTTGGGACCTACACTAGCGAACAATATCCTCCACGACAAACAAGGTACGGCGACGTTTACACGTTTCTCTCACATGGCTAGTTTATGACAAAACTGCCTTCACTAAATGCATTGGTAACACTTTACAAAAGGTTTCATTAGTTAACACTTATTAACTGACATGAACTAACAATGAGCAATACATTTGTTACAGCATTTATTCATCTTTGTTAATGTTAGTTAATAAAAAAATCCAGCTGTTTATGGTTTGTTCAGGTTTGTTCACAACCTTTAATATTAACTAAGATTAATAAATGCTGTAGAAGTATTGTTCATTAATGTTAACTAAGGTAGTTAACTAATGTTAACAAATTAACATTATTGTAACAGTGAATGTACTTCAGTCTACTTCAATGAACTGTTTTATGAAGAAGTGGGTTTTTTTTTACTGTAGGTTGAGCGATATGTTGCCTTGAATATTAAAAAGTGAAGTTCTAGATTCATTGGTTGCTAATTTCTGGATTATTTAAAGTGTCATGTGGATGGTTTTCCAGAACTCTTTGAGTACAGACTTAAAAGACTTACAAAGCTTTGTTTTGGTTGAAACCAGTTTTATTCTTGAAGATCAGGCTATGCAAACATCTCTGCCCTCATTGCTCAGGCGTTGTTTAATTCATTGGTGTGGCGGAATCACAATATCATTCAGTTGTTGCTCATTTATGCTCTATAAGGTTGGCAAGCAATGACAGCTCAGTCGTCTAACTAGTTTTCAAACTTATGATGAGCTGATTTGTGTCGACCCCATCAGAATTACAGTCATGTTTATTAACTGATCACATTTCCAGAGAGAGAATATCCATGCGTCTCTCATTAGGGTCATAAAGTCCTCTGGTCGCACAGATGGAAAGATCCTGCTGTGAAACATTCCTGTTGAGTGAGAGGTTTGGGAGTGACAGATCTAAGGCATAAAAAGCCCTCTGAGTGTGTGTGTGTGTGTGTGTGTGTGTGAGTGTGTGAGTGGGCCAGGCTTAGTCCATATCTCCTGTCTCTCTTTCTTCACCTCTCTAACCCTCTCCCTCTCTCTCTCTCCCTCGTTCTACTCCGGGAACAAAAACAGGGAAACACCCAGCAGGGACAGCTTTATCCTTTTGGCACGTTCGCTCAGGAATATTTGCCGAGAGGAACTGATCCGTGAGCTGGACGCTGTCAGGTAATTCATTCTTCAACTCTGAAATGTCTTTAAAATAGTGTGTTTGGATTGAGGCTCCATAATACTTAAATAAATCTGACTGGGATACATTTTGATCTGGACCTACTGAGAGAAAAATAGCATCATAATAACATATTCAATATTTCAATGAACCGAGTGTGTTAGAATACATATTTGTGTATTTCTCAGTTATGTGTCATCTATGTGTCAGATATTTCACTTTCCTTCACAGCCCTTTTAAATCTTTTAGAAGAAATAAACATCTTTAGAAATGAGACTGTTATTGCTGAGTTTAAAAATGAATTTGATAAGAGATGTTCAAGTTTATTTTGCAATCTCTGACTTTGGTATGTTGGCAAATCAGCACAGCTTGAGACATTGTTGATATGCGTGAATTATTTTCCCCTCCTAACTCATTTTACAGTTTTTTATAATTTTCCTCAAATCCTCACACACCATTTTAAAAACTCACACCCAATGTTAATAACAGCTAACTTCTGAATCCCAATTCAAAGTTTGCCTTCAGATAATACACACAATCTGTGACTGTTTGTTACAGATCCATTCAAAACACTGCAAACAAACGCTTCACAATATGTTTTCAGATAAATAGTTGGGAACTTTGTGAAATCACAACACTGACTGATAACTCTCTCAGGGACAATCCCGACAAAAGAAATGCAAAACAGTACTGTAATAAATACCTCTTACAGTGGATAAATCAATACTCTTGTACATGCTGTTTTGGATAAAAACCTGAACTTTGAAACGTCACACTGACAAAACGTGTACAAGGAAGAGTCCATGCACAGCAAAATACTTACATGTTCAAAAGCTTTATTTACTGACGCATATACAGGTTACTCAGCATCAGCATCAGTGTTCTCAGTATCTCGTCTCAGGTCCGGGTCAGCACACAGTAATGTCTATTACAGTACAACATGAATAGAGGGGAAAAAATTAGACAATAAGCTTTAAAGGGATAGTTCGGCCAAAAATTATATTTAACCCATGCATTACTCACCCTCAAGCCGTTCGAGATGCATATGTCAATCTTGTTTCAGACGAACACATTTTCAGTTATTTTAGAAAATGTCTTAGACCCTTCAGTGGATATAATGTGAAGCAATGGGGTCCACCTCCTTCAAGTCCCAAAATGTGCATACATCCTTCACAAAAGTAATCCATCCGGCTCCAGGGGGATAAACGAAGGCCTTATGAGGGTAATCCGTGCGGTTTTGTCGTGAAAATATACATATTTAAAACTTTATAAATGAAAATATCTGACTTCCGGCAACGATCGACGCGCGTTCACGGGTGATGTTTTGCTCTGCTCTCTGGCTGCGCGGGCGCGTTCGTTCTACGTCACGACGCTACGTCCTACCTCGTACGCCGACTTCCATCACCCGTGGACGCGCGTCGATCGTTGCCGGAAGTCAGATATTTTCATTTATAAAGTTTTAAATATGTATATTTTTACGACAAAACCGCACGGATTACCCTCAGAAGGCCTTCGTTTATCCCCCTGGAGCCGGATGGATTACTTTTGTGAAGGATGTATGCACATTTTGGGACTTGAAGGAGGTGGACCCCATTGCTTCACATTATATCCACTGAAGGGTCTAAGACATTTTCTAAAATAACTGAAAATGTGTTCGTCTGAAACAAGATTGACATATGCATCTCGAACGGCTTGAGGGTGAGTAATGCATGGTTTAAATATCATTTTTGGCCGAACTATCCCTTTAAGAAAGTATTATTTTCATTACACTCCTGTAAAGAGATCTTGCAGTAGATGGAAAGCACTAGAAAAGAAAAGTTGAGATGCTAAAGAACTGAATATGAACTTGGTATGCAATACTGTCAATTACAGTATAGTAAAATAAATACATTTAACATCCTCTACCAGAATGCATTACAGTGTTAGTAATGTTGTAAGCAATCGAGAAAAACTATAATATGTAGAGTCAACTATAAGTAAAGCATTTGTTGGTTGATTCCCATGACAAGTCTGTGATGCTATCCAAACCTACATTTTGGCAGAGTTAATGCTGTCAAACACATTTGCCATAATATATGATTGTAAACAAATACATTTAGATTCATTTCCATATATAGTTTTTCTGATGTAGTAACTTGTTCAGGAGCACATCTGGTGCAGCATTGCTCTTGTGAAGTGCTCCGGTACGAGTCCCACGAAACACGAGTCACGATAAAAGAGCTCAAGACTTTTGCTTCAGCATATGCATATTTATGTCACATTTGCTTTTGTTAACACTCTCATAGGCCCTGTTTACACTTGTATCAAGATTTGGCCGATCGGATCGCACGTGGACGACTCTAAATACAGGTGTAAATGGGGTGTCTAACACTTCCAGAGGGAGTTGAAAACACTTTCGACTGGATTGCTTTCGTAGTGTAAACGCTCATGTGGTCGAATGTGTTCAAACAGCCACTAAAGACCGTCTACTGACCTAATGACCTATAATGGGAAGAGTGATAGCCAGATGGATTTAAACTTTGCCAGCTGGAGACCCAAGTTTGTTTGAAGATGAAAAACGCACAAAGCACAATGTTACCTCTCCGTTCCTGATTCCTAACACACACTCACGGCGTTTGGCTGGCCTCTCGGCTGTCAGAGCAGAAACTAAAGCTGATTCTCCGTATGTTTCCGTCGTCTTCAGTCGCCATAGACCCTCCCTTCGATGAAATCAGGACAAAAGTAGTTGAAAGTGGACAGAAGAGAGGGATTAAAACACCAGGTGCAAACGGGAATGTGTTTCTATCATCTACTTGTGATCCGATCGACCAAAACACATCTTAATACCAGTGTAAACAGGGCCATTAGGTGTAAAGTACAGTACATTTTTTAAAAACACGAGAGCATTTCACCGGACATTTAATTTGCATAAAACCTTTCCATTTATATAAGACATTGACAGATTCGCATTGATCAGTCTTCAGCTCCACTCACTGGATGTTTCTCACAACCTAAAGGAACCGTATGTAAGAAATGCATTTCAATTAGTCATAAAATGGCCCTGATATGTCACTAGACAAATAAAATCATGTTCATTTCAAATACTTATATCACTGACAACAGTAGCCAGGATTAGGGCTGTGTTGAAAAAATCGATTCACCAATTCTGAATCGATTTTCATATTAATTTCTAAAGATCGATCCGTAACTCAGAGGATCGATTTAATAATAGGCTTACTTTTTCTCCGTGAACTTTAACTTGCCGCGACTGGAAGATCCCTTTATGCGCATTGAAAGGCTTTCACTCAGCGCGCACACTGTTACGGGCTTTGAGTGAGTCATTAAACCATTTATTCAACGAACACGTTCAAAAAAGCTGATTCATTAAAAGAGATGTAATGAAACAAGGTGTTAATTATTTTTAACTTTGAGTTCCACTTTTCAAGGCTCAGCTGAGCAGCAATGCGTCGCATGGGTAACGCTGAAGCTGATGCTTCACTTATTAGAGACCAATATGGCATTGATTCAATGCGTGACTCGCTGTTTTTATTTCCCCGCGGCTTCCTCGCGCTGTGGAATGCTGACCAGCGCTGCTGCTGACGCGCATTTATGGTAAATACCCGTGACGTGAACGTTAAAAGGATGATACGACAAATATTTCGCTTTCCTTTGACACGGCAACTTTTTTCACGAATACATATGACTTCAAAGACAGACGCAGGTAATCGCACGCGCTCTGCCGATCTCTCTCATTCACTGTCTGTGCGAAGCCTCTGTAGGCTACACATCACCACGATAAACAGTCTTGTTTGTTATCATTATGAACTTGTTTAACATTCAATACACATGCACGAAGTTCAAAACAGGAAGGGTGTATAGCCTTATAATAAAAACGTGAATATCGCGGTTGCTGCGGTTAATGGCAATCCTCTGCGGTTGACTTGTCAGTAGCGCGGTAGGCCTACTACAAGATTGCGGTAATCTCGACAGCCCTACTGCTGCTGATATACCTCTGCGTCCTCTGTCGTCTACACCAGTGCAAGGTTGTGAAAGCAGTTGTATCAACACTCTGGAAGGGGATTGTTCTTTACAACGATCAATACTCCATTAATTTGCAGTTAAATGTCTATAATAATAGTATCAATATGTTGCATAACAGTCCTGTAATTCAGGTAACAGCTGGAAAAAAATGCTTTTTCCAAAAACACTTATCTAAATCTCGAAGATCGGATCAGATCGGATCGAATCGAATCGAATAATGATAATCGATTCAAGATCTTGAGAATCGGAATCGAATCGATTCTTGAAATTTGAATCGAAACCCAGCCCTAGCCAGGATATTGAAGTTGCAGCCCTCAACTGATGTTGTTGTTGTCATGTTGTGTTTTGGTCTGATACGCCACCCTCCACCTATCTACCGATCACGACGTCAGTAGTGTTGCGGCATCCGTGTTGCCAGCTCTGCTGTAGTTACCACAGCTGCAGCTACAAACGTGTCGGATAAAAAAATATCTAACGTTACGAATCCAAAAAAAACTTGTTATGATTCCGAAATACTTCGTGACAAAGTCTGAAATAAAACAAGGATTTGTATAAAACTGCAGCCTATCTTGCAACCTCGAGTCAGGGGAGGGGGAGGGGATACACTGCTCTACAGTAATTTGAAAGTGATTGCAGTACCAGTTTTGGCCACAATCTTACATACGGTTCCTTTAATAGTATTAAGTAATATAATAATATTAATATTATGGTTTTTCAATTATCTTGGGTTTTCTGTTCGCTTGAACATCCTAAGCAGCCTGACACAGCAACCAATGGTGTGAGATGGGGGCGTGGCTATCTGTTTGACCGACCAATGGGAGATTGGGGGAGTGTTCTGGGGAAAATGTTTGATAATTTTTGCAATTCCACTTGGTGACTAGTGAAATTTCATCACCTTTAAAGGATAATTCCGGTATTGAGTCTATTTTCTAGTTTGGTTTGGATGAACTAGAGTGGTGGACAGAGAAATGTTGACGATGTATTGGAACAAGTAGCGTAGCGAAATACAGTTTCTGTCGTGTTTTTATTTAGCATTTTGTAAAATCGCATGATGTCTGCTGGAGGACTCAGTGCTCGTTGATATTACTGCGCTTCCGGAAACGGAAAGGGGTCTGTTTACATTTGGTTGTAGTCTTTTCGCTCGGTTCTCCGTCTCTCAGAAGGCTAGCGTGAGCTGAGCAACTGCGGCAAAGTGGTTGTCGCCATCAAGTGGTCGGGAGTGTGCTAATGCTTCAGACTCAAATATCGAGCGGAAGTTTATACGCGGTTGTGAGGTATCTGGAAAAAATAGTTCCACTATAGCAAATAACACGGATTGAAATCATACATTGCGCTGATATATTTGTTTTTAATCATCAACGAACACCACTAACCACTCGGTGAGTTGCACAGTTTTAAAAAAGAACGTTAAGGGTTGTTTTAAGGACATGTTTGAGCATGCCCAGAGACAGCCACTCTGAAGCGCTCAGAGGCGATCCTAAAAGAGTCAAAAAGTAGAGACAGGACCCATCGTCAACATTTATGTGTCCACCACTCTAGTTCATCCAAAACAAACTAGAAAATAGACTCAATACCGGAATTATCCTTTAAGCAATTCGCTCTCCTTTTAATCTAAGTAAAAGTCAATAGACATTAAAGTGATTTTGCTCTCATTTTGTCTTTAGGATGTTGACCCAAGAAGACATGGACTATGGAAACCTCACTTACGAATACTCAGACTTTGGCTACGTAGAGGAGACCAAAGCTGATGGCTACACTCAGAAAGAAGCTCTTCACATCATCTCAGTGATCATCTACAGCCTGGCGTTTACTCTGGGTGTAATTGGGAATGGCGTGGTGATCTGGGTGACCGCACTCAAAAGCAAAAGGACCGTAAACAGCGTATGGCTGCAGAATCTGGCCATCGCCGACTTCGTGTTTGTGCTCTTCCTTCCGTTCTCCATCGACTACGTGCTGCGAGACTTTCACTGGCTCTTTGGGAAGACCATGTGCAAGCTGAACTCGTTCGTGTGCACCATGAACATGTACGCCAGCGTGTTGTTCCTCACCATCCTGAGTTTGGATCGCTACATCTCACTGGTTCACCTCAACTGGTCGGAAAGGTATCGTAACGTCCGGCGGGCCTGGTGGGCGTGTGCGCTGATCTGGATCATATCTTTCTGTTTAAGCTGTCCGGCCCTGATATTCCGAGACGTAATCCAACATGACGGGAAGATCGTGTGTTTTAATAACTTTCACAATGAGAGCATGCACATGGTAGCGGTGAGACACATTGCACTCGTGGCTCTGCGAACCACCGTGGGCTTTCTGCTTCCGTTCGCCACCATCACCGTAAGCGGCGTGTTGCTCGCCATCAAGATGCGCCAGTCCGACTCGTTACGCTTGACCAGCTTCTCCCGAACCGTCTCCGCTGTGATCCTCGCGTTCTTCTTGTGTTGGGTGCCGTTCCACACTTTTAGCCTGATGGAGCTGAGCATGCACCACAGCACATACCTTCACTCCGTGCTCATGGTGGGCTTCCCGCTCGCCACCAGCCTGGCCTTCTTCAACAGCTGCGTCAACCCCATTCTCTACGTACTGCTCACCAAGAAAGTGCGTAAACTGGTGAGGAGGTCGTTGTTCAACTTCACCAAGAACTCGCTGAGAGAGCTGAGTCAGTCTGTGTCTGCCACTGAGTTAGACTCGGCACTGGTCAGCTATTCTCCTGAAGAGCCCATGGCCAACTCCTCCATCTGATGGGCTGCAGTCCCGACTCAAGAAAGCCCTAGAGCTCCAACTGGACTGAAAGTAGATAGGTTGGGAAATACTGGCTTTTAAAGGTGCAGTAAGACCAATGTTACTCACAATGGCTATGTTTACATGCACTCCTTGTGTTGAATTCATTTCCGATTGATGAATCTGAATGTAGTGTTTACATGAACGCTAAACCTGTGATCGGGTTTATATCGGGTATCGTTTATATGTCACAAGCTTCAAATCGGAATTGGTTTTATGACATGCGCACACTGCACAAATAAATATAGAGTTTCCCGCTGTTTGTGCATAATAACCATTCTCCTACATTGGTTCTTTATTTGTTTTAAACAGCAGACTCAATGTACGTCTCTGGTCATGATTTGGAGACCATGAGCATATGAACCGCTGTGCCACTGCTTATATTTATCACGCAGTAAAAATGCCCAAAGCCAGTCGTCTGTGGATGAGAATACGAAACAAGGAGTGGTGGGACGTTGTCCTGCTCCACTTCACAGAGTTAAAGGAGAATTTTAGAATGACGGGACACTCATTTAAATTAAATTTTATTCAACAGGAACAACAGCTCGTTCTGCACGTCATTCGTCATCGCACTATTTCAACGTCATTTCAGTTTTGGTTTTCAATCCGATCAAGTGTTCCTCTCGATCGCATTAGAAAAGGAATAAACCACCTCTTTCAATCCGATCGAAATTTCATTCGAATCGAAATTTTCGATTAAGGTGTTTACATGAAGGGTTTTCAGTCCGATTGAGCCATCAATATGATTACTAATGGATTATTTGGTTGCATATATAAACGTAGCCAATGTAAGCTCTGCAACCATTTTCAGGCTTTCATTCTTAGGTGAATCCAGTGATGGAAAGCTTTTCATAAGCTAAACTCGTGTCTTAAAGCTATTGCCTGATCATAACCCAAGTGATATTCCTCTGAGCTTTTCTCTTTTGTAATGTCTCTCAGCCTCAGCCGTCAGTCTTTCTTCTAATCTCCCTTTTGCTCACTTCTCTCCTCCCCATCATGAGTGGACACGCCCCTACTGCTGATTGGCTCACTCTCTCTCCTCCCCCATCATGAGTGGACACGCCCCTACTGCTGATTGGCTCACTCTCTCTCCTCCCCATCATGAGTGGACACGCCCCTACTGCTGATTGGCTCACTCTCTCTCCTCCCCATCATGAGTGGACACGCCCCTACTGCTGATTAGCTCACTCTCTCTCCTCCCCCATCGTGAGTGGACACGCCCCCTACTGCTGATTGGCTCACTCTCTCTCCTCCCCCATCATGAGTGGACACGCCCCCTACTGCTGATTGGTTCACTCTCTCTCCTCCCCCCTATCATGAGTGGACACGCCCCCTACTGCTGATTGGCTCTCTCTCCTCCCCCATCATGAGTGGACACGCCCCCTACTGCTGATTGGCTCACTTCTCTCCTCCCCCATCATGAGTGGACACGCCCCTACTGCTGAGTGGCTCACTCTCTCCTCCCCCCATCTCCGCCCCCTTCTGCTGATTGGCTCACTCTCTCCTCCCCAATCATGAGTGGACACGCCCCCTTCTGCTGATTGGCTCACTTCTCTCCTCCCCCATCATGAGTGGACACGCCCCTACTGCTGATTGGCTCACTCTCTCTCCTCCTCCATCATGAGTGCACACTCCCCCTACTACTGATTGGCTCACTCTCTTTCCTCCCCCATCATGAGTGGACACGCCCCCTACTGCTGATTGGCTCACGCTTTCTCCTCCCCCATCATGAGTGGACACGCCCCCTACTGCTGATTGGCTCACTCTCTCTCCTCCTCCATCATGAGTGGACACTCCCCCTAAATCGCTTACTGCACCTTTAAAACTAATGCAGTACATTACCGTAAATATGTATTTAATGCATCATCTCTTTTATATTTAGTACCAATACAGTAGTCAACATTTGAAGTGGATTAAAACCTTTCATCAAAGTTATACATGAAATTTGAACAATACCCGTTCTTGTCTTAGGACAACTTTGATGAACTTTTTTGATCCACTTCAAATGTTGACTACTGTATATATATAAAGTGTTGAGTATAAGTGCATCGTGTATAATGCGGCATTTGGGTTCTATATAGAACGTTAAAGGGTTCCGTCAGGCGCTTTACATATAGCCTAGAACCTTTTAGGAGGTCCCATCATGGGATCATGTTATGGATTAACTTTTAATTTATACAGTTTTATTTTAAATACATTTTATAAACACACTAGAAAAAAATTAAATAACCCATTAAACATGAAAGTATTATGCAATCTCCTTTTTATATATCTTTTTGGCGTACAGAGTTCTTTAAAGTTGAGTCAATAGCCCTAGAGTTCTATATAGAACCACAACTGAACCTTATTATCTAAGAGTGTAAAACTGAAGAATGAAGTTTGAAAGAACTCATTTTACATATTATACTATTGTGTCATTTGGATGCACACTGTAACTGACTTAATAAAGTTACTAATAAATTGCTCATTCAATTGTTTTATTTGATAAAAGCTCTACAACTTTAAAGTAACAGCATTTGTGGTATAATGTTGATTATATAAAAAAAAAATCTGGGTTACTGAAGAACTTCTAATGGAAGTGAGCAGACTGTTCCAATGGTAGTGTCACTTTGTGATGAATTGCAAGACGCAGGAGTAGGAAAAAATATCATTAATCTTTAAAAAGTCTTAAATAATAAATTCAAAAAGGAAAAATGCAGGAGAATGCCAGGAATAAAGCATACCACCATATAATAATTAGATGAGACCAAACAAAGAACTGAGGAAACTAAGGGCTTAAATGCACATGGAGACATAATGATTGACAGGTGAATGTAATTGATAACTAATGGCGCTTTTCCATTACCAGTACCAGCTCGACTCGACTCGACTCGCCTTGGCTCGCCTCGACTCGGCTCGCTTTTCGCTCCGTTTTCCATTGCAGAAAGTACCGCCACAAATAGTACCCGGTCGTCATAGCGACGCATTTCGTTCCTCGTTGCCCCATCAAGCTCTCGCTGGATCCTCTCTTCGGCAACCAAACAAAGGAATGTCTGCACCTCCTCGTTTGACCACGGCGTATTCTTCCGAGTTGCCATAACAATAGTAGTAAGTTTAGTAACTATCTCTGGCCAAACTATTTAAAATACTCCATCTGGCGCGTGCAATGATGACGCAGATTCTCTGTGACCAATCAGCAGTCGGCATTGTTTTCACGTCACATTTTAGTATCGGGTTAGCTCGCCTCAGCTCGCTTGGAACCTCGCCGGAGGTGGTACGAAAAAAAGTACCCGAAAGCAGGTACAGGTACAACTTTTACACAGTGGAAAACCAAACAAAGGCGAGTCGAGTCGAGCCGAGCCGAGCCGAGGCGAGCTGGTACTGTGTAGTGGAAAAGCGCCATAAGGGAACTATCTAGGGAAGGCTACGTTTACACGTGGCCGGCTATTTTCATAAACGGACATTTCGCCCTCTCCGTTTTCAAAAATAACATCATGCACACCTGTCACTTTTCAGAAAACTGTACACGATCCTGTGTATATGCTGTCACGAGCATGGCAAACCAGTAGGTGGCAGTGTAACGAGAAGCTCAAGCCCAGGTTAGCCAATCAGAATCCCGAAAATAGCAACAATACCTCGACATGATAGAGCAGCTGTATCTGCAAATGCAAACAGACGAAAAGGGGTTGCACCAACATAAATGTGACTGCTACTCTGAATGCATCCATGATCACCAAAGCCTAAAACTCTGTTTTTATCCGGTTACATGCAAACGAAGTTTTCCAAAATCTCCACTCTGGCCGGAGTTTTTAGAAAGAAACGTTTTCAGAGGCCAATTATCCGTTTGCGTGTTAAAGGAGGACACAGACGAAGGGAAACGTCTCCGTTTTTTCAAAATAAGCATGTACGTGTAAAGGGGGCCTAAACTGACCTGGAGACAGTGAGAAATACATGGAAACAAAAGGGCAACTAAACTCCTGACAGGTATAGCTACAAATGTTAACTTTTTTTATTGTGAAATTTTACTAATCTTTTTTGTGTAAAGTTGTATCTTGTTGTCAGCCACAAATTCTGCCGACTGGCGTTGACTTGTAATGAACCTGGAATATTCCTTTAACTATAAAATTATAAATTTTGAATCAGGCCTGGTTTCACAGACAGCGCTTAGATTAAGCCAGGATTAGGCCTTGGTTCAATTAGGATATTTAAGTATCTTAAGAAAAACGTGCCTTAGAAAAAACATTACTGGTGTGAATCTTGAGACAAAACATTGGCACTGACATACTTTAAGATATCTCAGTGTTGCTCTCAGTTAAAGCAGCTCGGACATTAGGCTTTCTAAGCCGGTCTATGAAACTGGGGGCCAGTGTACTAGGACAGCTCACATTGTTACCACATGTGTGTATGATGACTCATCAAAACTCAGAGAATGCAGAAAACATCTGTGAGTCAAATTTTCTTGAAATATGCTGAATAAAAGTCACCCAAAAATGCAGAGGAAAGTAAAAAGAAAAAGAAAAAGTAAAAGCACAGAGCTGGAAACTTTTTTCCAATTGACAATTGACTTACTACACAGATTTTGCCTAAGTGTTTCTCTCAAGAGCACAGTAGTAGTCAAAGGCTACACTTAGGTGCGTCCACTGAAATAATAAGAGCTTCTCTGTTGAAAGATTTGACAGAATTAAAAGTGCTGCGTGTCAGTTTTAACAAGCTTTGGGATTACTGAAGATTTACTGCTGTTTGTGGGATTGAGTTTTCTTCAGCTGGAATGTCTGTTTGTTTCAATGGATTTGTTAAAATGCAGGTTATTTTAAAACTGGAATCTTAACCAATCACACAAGATTCTTGAACACTCTCCTGTCTTCCATTGGCTGGCCAAACAGATTAGTCCTGCCCCCAAACAGAGTAGTATACTGATGCTCTTAAACAGGAGAAAGTAGCACACTTTTAAAATTTAAATGACAAAACGTTTTATTCAATCCGAGTTCATTCCTGTCAGGCTAAATTGGGTTTTTTTTTGAAAGCATGCTTTTTTAAACACATTGATGTTCAGTGGTTCTTCACACGGTTCTTCACAGTAGTGAATTGTGGGGTTCCTCTTTATTTGTTGCTATGGTGTTACACAATCACTCGATCTTAGACGGATTTAAAAGGAGGAAGAAAAATAGCCAACAGACACAAGGCCAAGGAAGGATGCTAGAAATAGTGTGGAAGCAATATTTAAGGAACAAATTACACCACATACAAAAAGTGCATTCACTACACACTCTCCCATACATAAACTGTGTTTTGCATTCTACAGAAGAGCCACATGTCTGTGTGAAGAGCAATATGTGTTAGTATTTCAACCACATATGGCGACAACATTTACATCTGTGTAGAATTGACACCTCGTCACGCAGAGAGCGTGTGTATGTAGGTCAGAGAGAGAACTCGGTTTGTTTTCATCTTTAAGCTAAAGTGTCATTTCTTAAGCCTATATTAGATAAGGAAGTATTGGCATTGGGCTGGCTGAGATGCTCAACATCATAAAGGTTAGCAACTAATAAATTACTTGGGAGTAAGTTGAGCCAGATGCTTCGGGGTAAGATGGGCCAGTGGATTGCTGTTATTTAGAATCATGCAAAATCTTATGTAAATTCAAATTATTGTGTTGCTTTTAAAAGCTGTAAAAAGCAAACCGTCCACACAATTGTTGGCAGGCTGTGAAGAAGAAGAGATAGACACTCTATCCAAACGCCGGAAATACCATTCGATTGGCTTGATTGAAATCTGGCAATAAAATTAAGGCCAGATTTCTGAGCTGCAAACCAAAGCAACGTTTTGTGCAGTATTTTTCCTAAGAGAGCCAACGAAGGAAGCAAACTTGGGGAAATACAGGGAGGGAACAACAGCAAGAATGATGAAGAGTTTCAGAAGAACAAATGTGTTCAGAACTATAAAAGCTTTGGCTCTTTCCATACACTGTAAAAAGTGATCAGTTGACTTAACTTAAAAAAAGTGAGGAAACCTGTTGCCTTAAAATGATTAAGTAAATAAACTTTATGCATAATTGAAAAAAATAAGGTATGTGGAATTGTCAAGTTCACATAACTTAATTTTGTCAATTTCATGAATCTTTACTTAATAATTTTGAGGCAACTTTTAATAAAGTTAAGTCAACTGATCACCTTTTACAGTGTACTAAACATGGCCTAAATGAAATAAGTGCTCAGCCTTTAGAAAACGTGATTGTCAAGCCCGAGAGGTCATCATTAACATAAATATTGTATTGTTCAATTTATCGTCTGATTCATTTATTTATGTGGTCTGAAATTTGTACAAATCTGTAACCAAACTTTGCAAGTACTCAGTAGGTTGTTTGGTGGTTTGTGTTTATTCATAAACTTATATTTCCCAAAACATAAAGCATTGAGAGAAGAAAATTGTTGTTTTTTATACTTTATCAAAAAAAT